AGGACAAGCTCACGTTTAAGATTATATCTGAGGCCTTGCTTAAACCTACTTAAGTCATGGCTTCATCCTCATCGACCTGACATCTCATTTTGATTCATCAAACTGAGTGACGTACTCAATCACTGGCCGATTTCTTTGCGTAAGAGCATTCCATTGACCCAACAAATTACCCATATACGGTTGGGGTAAATACTTCTTTTGAAGTCAATGCTTCATGTCATCCTAACTCCCAACAAGCGGAGTGTGAAGTCTCTCAAAGAGCTCCTCAACACTTTTCCAAAAGGGTTGAGCGGTGCTAGTTTATTTCAGACTTGCAAATTGAACTCTCCGACCTTCTGGGACTCCATACCAAGCAAAGAAACGATCCATATCTTTAAGCCATTGAGTAAATACTCTAGTGTCTAAGCAACCATCAAAGGTCGGGGCATCCAATTTAATGTTTCTAAAGAACTGCTCCTCGTGGTGAGGAGGAAAGTGAGTATCGTAACGGTGATGTTCCTCCTCCCGTTCACAAATGTGATGTCCATTCCTACGGTCATGTCTAACATGTTGTCAACCACCTTGTCGATAACGATAATGTCTATTACTGGACGCTTCAGAGTTCTCAGCTTCTGTCAAATATAGGATTTGTTCAAAGGTGTTCAACCTAGCAGCTAGGTCTCTATTCCCTTCACGAGTAGTAGCCATCTCAGTTTGGACAGCCGCTAATTGAGTTTGTACCCGCTCTTGGTTAGTGGCAAGTTGTGCTAATTGTCGAGTAGGAGCATCAAATTAGGAAGGGTCCACGGTCAGGATACTGGAACTAGATATGACAAGATGATCACTACGCAACTACATGCAATGTACGACCAGTTAAATGACGTGAATGGAGAACAACCTGAGCATTTAAATCTACAAATGTTAAATTTTTTTTTTTTTTAAATTTTTTTGGGGATTTTGTAAATCCAAATATGGCAAGTTAATACCATTGATCTATGTAAAATAACAAAGCAAAGGTCAAAGATTAGTCAACAACTTAATCACGTAAAATAAGTAAGATAAAAGTGGAAATATAACAATGTTAGAGATTTAGGAACGTAAATTTTAGGTAAAGATTAGAAATAGAGCAACACAAAGAAGTTAATCGATACAATTCTAAGATAAATAGTAATATAAACCAAAGATAAAAAAACAGTAGCTCCCTTTTTTTGTTCGTTGAAATAACTGAGTCAATCAACAGGTCAAAGAACCTATCTACAAAACACTTTTTTTTAACAAAATCAAGACACTTTATATATAAACAAACATCGGCAAAATTGAACCCAAATTACAAATTACGGCGGTGGTCCAAAACGAAGGCCCAACACGTGAAGCCGATCGTGTCTGGACTGTCAATCGACGATTGGTCTGGTTGCTGATGAGGTAAGTGAACTGCTTGGGTCACCGATTAGAAGCAGTTGGTGGGTAGTGAATTGGCGACAGAGCATAACAATAGGATTTTTGGGAATATTGTGTAGATGAAGTATTGGGTGATTGGGTCGGGTTTGGAGTGGCAGAACATGTCGACGATGAAGATTCTGTCGCGACGAATATGGGTTTCGTCGATTGTGATTGAGGGTTTTATTAGTTTGGGGGTAGCAGCGACAGTGGATGGTGGTTGTATAGGGTTATTTTGTATGTGGATGGTTGCTGGAGATCTTGGATAGAACAATTGCAGTTGCAGCTCTGTTTGATGGAGGAAGCTATATTTAGCTCTGATACCAAATTTGATGTAGAATTAATTGGAATTCAGTAGAAGAAAGCAAAAGAAAAAGTAGAAGGCAGAAAAAGTGCAGAAAGGGAAGAAACCGTAGAGAACGGGGAAAGAGAGAAGCCAGGGGAGGGAGGACATGGGCAAAGCCAAACGTGATTAATTTCATTCATCAAATGTCTCAATTACAATGCAAAAACCATATAAATAGTAAAACATAATCCTACTAGTGAAGGGCTTGAGTCAACCCAATAAGACAAGCCCAATAATAGAAAACATAATAATAAAAAGTCCACAATAGAAAATAAATCTCGATGAATGTCCGCATCACTTTAGTTCCTAAATATTATTGTGAAGCGTATAAAGGAGGTCTAAAATGGAAGTAACGAAGTTCCAAAAGTTGCAACACATGGGGATCAAGAATTTCTACGAATAGAAGCAAATGTTTAAAAATGTTGTTTCAAAGTTTAATTGATTTGAGGAAAGTGTATGTTAATTTTGGTTTTTTATTCCCCCTTTTCTGATGGATAGTATTTCAGGAAAGAATGTTTGAAGAATCAATTTCTTGGTACACTAATCATGGTACTTGGGAACCTTTATTCAATCTTTGGCCTTCAAATTAATTTCGCATTGTGAGAAAAATTGGAGCACATATTCACTTATTCAAAGTATCAAAAGAAACAAATAGACAACAAGTAGGGCTGAAGACCTTGTGTTTGTGAATTCAATCTTCGGCTAGTGTCTCAAAAGGAAGATGAGTACAAATGACCAAAAAAATATTGGGATGTGTATGCATACAATATTATTTATTTCTTTTTAGAGACGTGATTTTATTGTATTAAATTTTGTTACTTATTTTGTTTTGTAGGTGTATATCAAATCAAATTGGATGGCCAAACTAGCATTGAGCTTGCGGAACTCTCTTCTCATGAGCTACAATTAGAGGCAGGCAACTGCTTTTGATGATGAGGAGTAAAGCTGATTTGGAATTGTCGGTTTAATTGGATTTTAAGTGGACTATTTATTTCTTTTATTGTTATGACATTGTGTTGCTAGATTTTATGAACCATTTGTAGTTATTGGGCATGTTGCTTTTGTTATTTTGGAATTGATTTTGAAATGATTGTTCCATCAGTTTTTGTTATTTTGGTATTGAGTTTAAATTGATTTTTCTATAAAAAATTTTAAAAATATATATATATATATATAATATGTATTCCCTTACCTGTATCCAAAATTGGCAAATTTCTAAACGTATCCCCATATCCAGAACTTCAATAAAAAAGAAGGATCCAACTCTTAGGTATGTACCCTTATACGACATTTGTACCCAAGTCCGAGCAACCTAGGTGAAGAATTATGCTTAAAACTCTAGAAAATCAACCAAAATACATAAGCTCAATAAATTCAATCCAAAAGATTTGCAACAAATAACCAAATCATATCTAATTATACCTTTGCGGCATCATTTGGAACACATGTCTGGTCTGTTTCTGGGCATGCTTCAGAATTACTTCCCATCAAACAAAATGTCACTGGTACCCTAAGACATTGTTCCACTGCTGTCTTCCATTTATAACAATTTCTCAACCTGTGAAATATAGGTAGATAAATTAACAAACACCCGCACAGTAAACGATAAAATTTATAATAAAATCAAATAAAGATTGAATCTATTTATGTAAAATCATCCACAAAGACTGATTTTTTAACAACCTTTTGAAAAACACATGGGATTAAATTATCATATTGATTTAAAACTAAATTGAAACAAAAAAAAAAAAAGAATAAAGGCAAAGGGAATAAAAAAAATCAGAAAATAGTCATAAACTACCACAAAGACTATAAGATTAAAAATTATGATACCATAAAATAAACACTGAATTCATTTAAGTAAAATTATCTACAAAGATTTTTTTTACACTTCTTGAGAAGGCATGGGTTTTAATTATCCTACTGATTCAAAACTAAATAGAAAAATCAGAAGAAAATAAGGGGAACAGAAAGAAAAACATTAGAAAATACCTGGGGAATATGAAATTCTGTTGGTTGGGACTAACATTGGGTCCAGGAAATGAAAGAGAAGAAATACGTCCCTTTGCTTTGACATGTGTGGTGTGAGTAGCGCACAGATAAACAGGGCCATGAATGGCGCTGCTGCTAATAGTCGCCATGGCCAAGACGAGATAGAATGTGCTGAGCTCCTAAATACTCATAGGTTTCTTTACCCCTTTTTTTCGTGGACGCGTCCCCCTCACAAGGTGCACAATTATTTTAGAAATAAGCCATCGGTACATCCCCGTTACATTACTTGTGACATAATTTTATCTTTTTATAGATCTATTATTTATTATACCCTTATATCTAAGTTTTAACTATTTTTCGCAATTTCACCCAAAAATTGATATCAGTGCCTAGTAACGAAACTAAAGAAAAATTTCTAAAATGAATAAAAAAAGATAAAATGATTTTAGAAGAACTACAAAATATTA